TGATTATCTCTGTACTGGCTCTCTAAACATGTTTGTCTATGAGGTTCATACAGAAGTGCTTATCTAACTCCTTAATGCCATTGATATAGCTATAATATTACTGTTTTCAGGCTGATGTCGACAACAGTGGAACTATAGACTATGGAGAATTCATAGCAGCAACTATTCACCTTAACAAATTGGACCGCGAAGAACATCTCATGGCAGCATTTCAGTATTTTGACAAGGATGCAAGTGGTTATATTACAGTTGATGAGCTCCAGCAAGCGTGTGCAGATCATAACATTACAGATGTCTTCTTTGAGGATATTATCAGAGAAGTTGATCAGGATAATGTAAGTCAATTATTGTTGAAGATAAAGTTGGAGTATTTTAGGAACTTATCATTAAAAAAGTGAACGCATATTAGGAGATAACGATTATGTTTCAGGATACTAAAATTTGACTAAAGTTCTTTATAGCTTGCAGCTGTACTGATTTATTTATAATTGCTCAGATGCACTGAGATGTTTCAGAAATTGTTTTTGGAGAATACTCCGTTGTTCTGTTTGGTCTGACTGCACTTAGGCCAGCTACTCACTTTTTGGTGTCACTTCTAGTTCAAATAGGTCTGTGTAGGATAAGAAGACAAAGCAGAGATAATTGTCAAAAAGAGGGGAAAAAGCAAGACAAAGCAGTGATAGCATAATAAAAATGAAAAGTGTTGTTAGAACATAGAAACTTTTCTGACTTTCTTCAAATCAAATAAATCTTTGTTGTACTTTGATCAGTCTTCCGAAACCTTAGTATAGAGCAGATGCAGGCAAATTGCGTTTTAAGATCTGTGTTTTAAATGGATGAAATGATGCCTTTGGCATCCATATTTCTTGCTACTTTAACTATTTATTTGGTTTCCCGGTGGACTTCCCTTTCAGGATGGGCGCATTGATTACGGAGAATTTGTTGCTATGATGCAAAAAGGAAATCCATGTATTGGAAGACGAACAATGCGAAATAGTCTGAATTTTAGCATGAGAGATGCACCTGGAGCTCATTAGCTTTTTGAATGGACACATAATTTAGGTATTTTCCTTTTTCTTTCTGAAGTAACCTTTGCTTTGACACTAAAAATCTTTCCTTGTTCTATCCTTCTTAAGAAATTGAATCGGCAAAGATAATTTTATAAATAAAACAGCACTAAGTGTGTCCTGTAAAACTGTACCGGTGTAGCAAAAAATTATAGTCAGCAAAAGTATATCCCATCTAATCCTGTACGGAATGTAACATGTCTCGAATGGATTCAGCTTCCTCTACATGCTCCATTTACACCAAAAAACATGTATTTCAGATTCAGATGTCTTTTGCATTTTCATCTTTTTTGTACTAGTTTCTTCCCTTTTGGCAAAAGTTTTATGTACCACATTGATGGCTGTCATACATGGCTATGCAAGGAACATGCCTAAGTGAGCACATTCCGACAAATTCAATGTTTAGAAGTTTCATAATATTATGACTATTTTTATACTAGTCATCAGTCGAACCAACCTTCTTTTATCCACGTATGGGACAAACATTGTGAAGCTCACATAGACTAGGTTAGGTAAAAATCTCTGTTGGACAAACAATGTTTGGAAATTTCATAATCTGTTTTCTGCTGAACATGAAGTTGTGGAAGTTAATTAATAATCTGAATGATATTATTAACTGAACAAGTGTCAAAGACACTTCAGAGTGTCATTTCAGAATATGCACACAAAGTGTGTGATCTAGTGATGAATGAGGTTGGGAAAAAAAAATCATAAGAGACTTTGCATCTTGTGGAGGCAAAGAAATTGGGTGGTTTTCCATCTAAGTTTCAGTGGACAAAATTACCAGATTCATGTACCTTTGAAGAGGATACAGGCATCCGGTGGAATAGTCGAGGTCATGCAAGTTGGGTTCAAGACCACCTTCATATTAGAAGAAGTATCATTTCTGAATATTTGGTATGATGTGTCATTTGAGAATATCCTGGACTCTGGAGGGTTATTAGAACTAATTGTATTTTCTAACCATTAATTAACTCTATAAAAAGAATGTCGAGTTAGACTTTGTTGAAATTTAGGTAGAATATGTGTGAACGGTAAACCAACTATAGTTATATTTATTAACCCAGTATGAAGCCACCTATGCCTTAGTCCCAACTGGTTGAGGTTGGCCATCTATATCAGGGGAATTATCCATGTAGCTCTATGCAGTCCATTTAATTCTGATACTGATTAATTTGACTTTTAAGGCGAATTAGGTGTACTATAAAATTAGAGTTCCTCTGTGTTCCACACTTATTCCTACATGGATCATCTTTTCCATGTGATTCTAGGTGTGCGTTGTCGCCTATTTCCTTTATGAAATAAAGCCATTTTGTTTTTCTTCCTTCATCAACATGCATTTGGCGTCAAGGTTGTATTTTGTTCTCGTGTAAATTGCAGTCTTTGCCATATTATCATAGTTGAGTTACTTGATTCATAGTATGCAATTTTAATATTCGGATGTCCTGTAGTTACACAAGTGCCTGGGTACTTGTTGGTGTACTATACCTGTCCTTTAGTTACACAAGTGCTTGTGTACTTGTTGGTGTACTATACCTTTTGATTTTGATTTTTTATTCTCACTGTTTCTGCCGGAATGCTGTTATGGCGTTCTAGGCCAGGAACAGGTGCATCTCTTGGTCATGTTAATGTGTAAAAGGTATTCTGACATTGATACTGACTAGTTTGCAGGTTTTGCAGAAAATAGAACAAAGGCAACGAAACTGCCATGATAACACGTCTCCTACCCAGTTCTGACAGTGGCATGCCATGTTCTCAAGTTGGAGTAGAAGAGGATGACTGAAAGAGCTTGTAGATTGCTATCATCTTGCTGTGTGCCTCGACAAAATGTTGAAATCTCTGTAGTCAAGTGCGGAATCGTTTCAGCTACTTGATGTGTTCAAATTTATTTAGTGTTCTTTAGTTGAGGCTTCATGCTTGCTTCTATTAGAAGGTGGTTTACCTTCAGATGTATCCTTCTCAAATCAGTTCTCATTTCTTATTTACATAATTATGTATTTCATCCATGAGTTTTTCTCTATTGCTAGATTATCTTCATTGTCTTTGAGGAAAACATCCGATTTGGTGTACAATTTTACATAAGCTATATTTGCAGGACATGGTTAGTCATTTGTGTACAGGCTTGATTAATCACTGATTTTCTTGAATTCAGCATAATAAATTGCAGTTGATAGCAAACAAGTTTTCTTTCCTGAGACCCAGCTGCATAGCTTCTGGTATGCCTGCTGCTCATTTGCAAAGTTAAGCTACTGAGAGGATGCAGCAATTTCACATAATACAGCAATTTCCTGAAGGATAACCAAAACGAAATATCAAACGAGCATGTTTTAGTGGAACTTGTGACCCAATTCCTTCCTTCAGTCCATCAAAGTATAATTGCTTTTGAAGGAGGATAAGATGCAATGCCTCTGAAAATAGAATCTTCAAAGGACATTTCTTCCTTATCTGATTTAAATTATAAACGAAATTTAGAGATTAGATTATGGGTGTTCGTTGGTCGGTACGGTATTTAGACATTTCGGTTCGGTATTTTCAGTATTCTGTTTCTTAAAATCCTATACCAATACCGTACCTAATTAAATTCGCTATGGTTTGGTTTTTCTCCTTTCGGTTTCGGTTTATTCGGTTCGGTAACTTTGGTTTATTCAGTTTGAATACTAACTAGTGCATAGAGCCAATGTTTGTTGACAAAAATTTTGTCCAAAACTAGCAAATATCGATCCAAATAGATAAAATTATACATGAAAGAATATTTGATCATTAGAAATGTCTTGTTACTTATTTAGAGTTAATTGATGAACTTTGAGAATAAAGGAAAGTAAAATTTTAGATTTTTTATATTTATGTTATGATTGATAATATGTGTTTTATGTAATATAATATATATTTCGGTACGGTATCGATATTTCGGTATTTTATCTGAAAATACCAAATACCATACCTAATACTAATTTTTAAAAAAACTTAAACCAAATACCATACCATATACCAAAATACCGTATACCAAATACCAAAATTTTCGATTTCGGTGCGGTAATTCGATATTTACCAAATTATGCCCAGCCCTAGATTAGATAACAGCAAAATTCTACTTAAATTTGTAAAACTTCTTGACATAGGGTAATTCACATAACTTGTCTTTGAATTTTGGTTTTTCAGAGAATTAAGTTTTAAAAAAATATTTCTGAAGAAAGTTGCATGTTTTCCAATTACTTTTTGAGAAAAATAATGTTGGACTGTATGTGCTAGTTTTTTGAAACCTCGCCTTTGATTTTGTGAAAGAGTTAAAAAAAGGCGCTAATAAGACCAAACAGCATATTCGGCCACCGACGGCCAAAGAGCAAAATAGCTGTCGGTGAGCAAGTTCCAGCGGGTACCCCATGTGCTGCCTCTCGACTACTACTTATTGAACACCTCACAAACACACACACATACACACATTGCCCGGTCCCACTATGACTGCCGACACGTTCTTCAACTTTCTGTCTTCTCTCCCGTTTTTAGCTCATGGGTTAGTCTTCAACTTCTATCTATATAGCATTGTTTTTTTGTGTTAAGAAGTTGGAAAACTTGATGATAGGTCTATAGTGCTAATTACATCAGCATTAATTTCAGTAGCTAGTAGGTTTCTAAGGAAATACGTACTCATATTACTCCCTCATGTTGTTGGCTTCAAATCGATCAATATAGGACCCCCGCGGTTACTGTTTAAGAATCAACACGTGTAAACAAAAAACTATACTACTGCATTTGACACATTAGACACCAGAAACCTTCACTTCCAATCAAGATGTTGTGACTTCGAGTCTCCCCAAGAGCAAGGTGGGAAGTTATTGGAGGGAAAGATGACGGGGTCTATTTGAAAACAATCTCTCTACCCCAGGATGAGGGTAAAGTCTGCGGACACACTACCTTCCCAGACCCCACTAAGTGAGATTATATTGGATAATTGTTGTTTGTATTTGATTAGAAACATATATGCAAAGGCTGAATCCAATCGGACGGTGACTCTTTGGCCAACAAAATTTACATTTATACATAAATCAAACGGAGAAAGTACATAATATGATATAAAGCACAAGAATGGTATCGGAAAAGAATTACAAGGACAACGAAGAGGGGGAAAAAAACAAAAATTAATACTACGGCATGCTCAAGGTTGGGATTGGTTTCACTTCCACTCAACTAGCATTGTGTGCCTGTGCAGCTGCTCATTCGACCATACGATGAAGATGAATGCAATGCCTCCAGGAGCAGGGGACCGCTATGAATTAATTCACTTTCTACTAATTTATACATTTATACGTACTCACCGCAAATTATACTTAACAAGGATATATAGAATAGTACTACGAAGCACATTTACTGTGGCTGCCTGCCTAATGAGACGTACATTTTAACTCCCCGATGGATCTATTATTTGGCAACCACTCGAATCTATCAACAACTTGGAATCAATCAATGAATGAACCGACATCACAAAAAGAGCTTATAGATCTTCCAAAAGAAAAAGAAATGGTAATTTGACGCATGCATATATATATATATGATCAGTTTCTCATTGCCTTGCCGTCATCGAAGTTCTTGGAGTAGTTGAAGGAGTCATAGCGGAAGGTTTGAGGTAGACCGACGTTGTTGTCGGAGCGGATGAACCTCCGTAGCTCCGACCTTACTTTGTAAAACACATGCCTCAAGCTGCCCCTGCTGTGGCATCCCAATACGGCTTTCTCCTCTTCATTCATTTCCAGATCCTGGGCGAACGTGGGCTTCTTGGACATGATCCAGCCCAATCCCCACTCCCACCATTTCCTTATCGAGCTGCCAGCGTATTCTCCCATTCCGGCTGATAAAGAGGACAAGGATTTGGATCGGCGAAATGCCCATGAGGAGGAAGAGGTGTTAGAGGTGGAGTAGAATGAGAGGATGGGTTGTTGACAAGCAGACCTCGCGCGCATGTTCATCCTTAGGGAGAGAGAAGACAATCTTTTGCGGACGCCAAGTCCTCCTGCTGCTGTTTCTTCTGCAGGTTGCGACATTGGCAGAGCTTCCTTGCTCTGAAAACTTTGAAGAAGAGAGCTCATGGTTTATGTTTAATGGGATTCGGTGGTGATGAAGAGGGAAATTAATGTAGGTCAAATGGGGCTTTCCTTACGGAGAGAAATGATATGAAACCCCCCAACTAAAAACTACTCAGCATTTTATTTTTAGGAGTAATAAACAAGGTGAGTGGTGACAAGTAATGGTCATCACTCACCACCGTCACCCGCACATTCCTACGTTTTCCCTTCACATTCATTGACAGCCTGTTATATTCTCCTTTTCCATCATTTATTTTATTTATTTATTTATGAGACTCTTTTGCCCCTCAACTTCTCATTTGTGACCAACGCCCAGCGGTACTACAGGTTGTACACATTCAATCTATAATGCCTATGAAAATCTAAAGCTGTGTCCTTGGAGTTGCTTTTACCTTTTTACCACGATAATTTTAAGGTAACCCCACCAGCTTTTTCCTCATTTCACCTATTTATGTCAAACAGTAAGGAGGAAAGCTTTTTATCTGGCCCAAGGCGGAAGGCATGGGTAAGTGGAGGCAGTCATTTGGCGTTCTCAAGTGTCATTGTTTACTGCAGTTTAGCGGCATTAGCGCTGAGGTGAACCACATGGATACGGGAACCCCGACATCCTTGTCTCGTCAAAAGCGTATTGAAGGTGCCATGGATTAAGAATTTCCAGCGCAACGACAGCCTTAACTCCTTGTGCAGCGAAAATTACAAACTCGCGAGGAGAGTTACAAACTCCTCGTCCAACTGCTAACAACATATCTTGTAGCTTTACCACTTATCACTACGCGCTGGAACAAATACTAGGTCAGAGCAGATCAAGTTGCAGCTGGCATACCCTGCACTCACATGTTTACAACAGCAATAGACAAAAAGGCTTCATAGACAACTAACCATCTTAAACTGGTTTTTGCAGTATTCTTACAAGTGATGTCGACAAAAGTGTCTTGCAATAATTTTAGTTTGTTGCCTTAATCTTGCAAGTGATATCTAGTAAATTATTTTACAAGAATCTTTTGTCTGTTGAGTGTGCCTAATTGTAGGTTATAAGTAGTCAATAACTACATCTATTCCATGATTGAACACCAGAGGAAAAAAAAGGGGGGCCGACGTGCATCAATATTCTAATCATCAAGTGAAATATCCCCCTTCACCCAGATTTTAGTGATACGGCTCCTCAAAAAAAGGGAGCTTTTTCTCTTTTTGTCCTTGGTTCCCTATAGAAGCCAGAAGGTGAAGAGGGCTGGG